GACTCTGCCTCGAGCTTCCCTGGTGCCGCACTACCCCAACTGGGGCCTTCCAGATGCAGCGCCCAACAAGGTGATGAAGATGGTGTCTTCCATAGCCAGGTAAGTGCCCCGCCACTCTCCTACGCACTACCCCAACTGGGGCCTTCCAGATGCAGCGCCCAACAAGGTGATGAAGATGGTGTCTTCCATAGCCAGGTAAGTGCGCCGCCACTCTCCTACTATGCCCCCTTCTTCCTCCTCCTCAAGTTGGACTGCTTGCCATAGCCAGGCTGAGATCCAGCGGCCCTTCACCTCCAAGCAGCGCTGCACTGGTCCAGCGCTGCGCTCCGGCAGCATGTCGCCAATCCTTGCACACCGCAAATGAGGAAGAACTCTTTGCTCTTCCTGGAGATATAGTGGCCTACCGGCCTCCTGGGCGGTGACTTCCTAGGCCGAGCGGCCTCCCAGCAACCGGTACCTCCTCCGTTTCGGAGGGAAACATCATTGCAGGCTCTGCTATCCTCCCTGCAGGCCCTAGACCCGGGCTACTTGGGCTGGTACCGGCCTACCGCTATCCTACCGCTACTGGCCTCTAAAAATGCCAACTTTTTGTCTTCTTCTGCTCGGCCTCCAGTACCCGACACCCCCACCACTACTTGAGCGGTACCGGCCTACCTGCTACTTGAGTGTTTTTCCCTGCTGTTCTAAGTGTTGCGGGCCTACCCCCTCTACTTGAGTGTTTTCCCCCCTGCAACCCTCAAAGTCACGGCCACAGGTAAGTACCGGCCCTGCGGGGCCCTTCAACCAACAAGTACGCTTGCGGGTCATACACACACTCACCCGACAAGCACTCAGACAGGCATGCAAACCAGCAGGCACGCACACACACATACATGGAAATCATAGCAAAATGCGGGAATTTCAGCAAGGCATTCATTCCAGCGGCAAATCCCAGAAATTAGCAGTGTTCTCAGTCTGTGTTTTTGGCGGGTCATTACATTACCCCCCTCTCAAGAGCGAGGTCCCTTCGAGCGAGTAACTCATTCAGAGTTGGCACAAAATGCATCATAAGAGTAAATCAGAAGGAGAGACTTAGTAAGTTCGTGAGGAGTCATGGTCGCAACAAATTTAGTAGTCTGTCCCTCAGCGATCTGTCGTTCATAAGCGTTCACAACACGGGGAGCACTCTTTAGCAGCTCTTTTCGGTCGATCCAAAAGAACTCAGTCAACGGGTGATAGAGGAAGTGAACCTTGTACTGTCTGTTCCTCCCTCTTCCCTCGTGAGAAACGATTCTGTCTATCTCATGGCCGCCATCGATAGGGCGAGGTATCATAGGGTCTCGAAAGGGAAACGTCTCATCATCAATGTGTGGAAACAGTTTGGACGCATGAAAGAACGGATACGTGCGCAGATGAGGAGGCACGTCAATCACATATGAAGGACCAAAATCATCCCCAATCACCTTCAGAATCTGCCAAGGGCCATAGTACAATGGAAGGAGTTTTCGTGATATGCCCTCTTCATCAGAAAACTCAGACATTTTAACCCAAATATAATCCCCTACTTTGAATTTTTCTTCTTTGCGCAACTTGTTAGCATGTTTGATCATGGCATGCTGACGCTTGTTCATAGCTGCAATAACAGCTTTGAGCAAGCATGCGTACTTGGCATTGTAGCCAGGCATGCCGGGCATCAGACCAGGTGACCGTTCAGGGAACAGATAGGAGAGGGGATTACGCATCGGCCATCCATATTGCAATTGGTTTGGTGTCACGCCAGTTGCAGAGTGAATGGAGTTGTTATACAGCCCCTTCACCTTGTGCAGCTCCTTGTCCCACGTGTTTTGATCTGGAACAATCAATGCGCGAAGTAGTTGGATGGCAGTCTGGTTGATCTCCTCGGCCAAACCATTGGCTTCGGGGTGTCAACCAGAAGTCTTATTCAGTTTAATGTTATAGATTTGAGAGGTAAAGTCCTTCCAATCTTTGCTGATGAATTTGGTGTCCCGATCACTCACAATAGTTTTCGGGACGCCAAACTGCAGAATGTACTGCTGATGGAATTCTTCGATGACAACTTCAATTGGGGCATGGGGAGGGAAAGGAATCGAGTTCAGAAATTTGGAGAAGTGGTCCACGATGACCATGACTTGTGAATTTCCTGCCTCACCCAACTTTCCCATGTCCGTGAAGTCGATGGAAATCGACTCACCGGGTCCATCAGGAATGGGGAGGGGTCTCAGCAGGCCATAAGGCTTATGCCTGTGGACCTTGGTTCTTTGACATACCTGACATTCAACAACAAATTTCTGAGCAGATCCTTTCATTCCTTGAAAATCAGGCTGACTGTTAGGGTCAGCCTTGAGCTGCTCAAGGATGGGACTAAGGTCCGGATCCTTGGCGGTGTGTTCGACCAGATCCTCCTTCAGTTTCCTTCGGAGGTTATACGAACCCACGAGGCAAGTCAAGAATTCAGGATGGCGAGACAGCGCATCAGCAACTCGGTTATAGCAGCCTTTCTTGTGTTTCAATTCAAAGTTATAGACATCAATGTCATGCAACCAGTGGGTCAATGTAGGAGAGAGTTCAGATTGTGTCTGAATCCACTGCAAGGTCTGATGATCTGAGTAGACCTTGAAGTGGCGACCCAAGAGGTAGTGCTTCCAATGTGCGAGGGCCTCGCGCAGGGCGTAGAGCTCACGCATATACGTGGAAGTAGCTACATTGTGGTTGGGCATGCGTTTGTCGTAGTACTCGAGCAGACGCAGGCCATCACCATCATCTTGTTGCAGCACTGCACCAATCCTGAACTGGCTCGCATCCGTAGTGACTACGAAAGTGAGGTTGGGATATGCAATGCGAAGCACAGGATGACTCACCAACGCCTCTTTCAAGGCTTGGAACGCAGTCTCACACTTCTCACACCATGCATAGGCAACATTCTTGCTGGTTAGTCTTGAGAGAGGGTGAGCAATGACATAAAATTTGGGCACAAACTTCCGGTAATATGAGGCCAGACCAAGGAAAGAACACAGTTCGCGTACGTTTGCCGGTTAAGGCCAGTTTCGGATGACCTCAACCTTGGTTGCCTCCGGCTCAAGGCCGTTTGCAGACAACCGGTGTCCAAGATAGATGACGTTGTCCCTCCCAAACTCATATTTCTCTAAGTTGAGGTGCAGTTGCGCCTCCTTGAGGACCTGCAAAACTTCCTCAAGGTGCTTGAGGTGCTCTTCCATGGTTTTGCTGAAGATCAAGATATCGTCTAGGTACACACCCCCAAACCTGTTGAGTTGATGGCGAAGTACCTTGTCCATGAGGCATTGAAATGTGGCCGGTGCATTCGTAAGACCGAAGGGCATAACGATAAACTCGTACAGCCCATCGCGTGTTTTGAATGCAGTCTTGTGCTGGTCACTCGGATCAACTTCAATCTAGTGATAGCCAGATTTGAGGTCGATCTTGGAGAAGACCTTGCACCCACCTGCCGCATCGAGCAGGTCATCTATGCGAGGTAAAGGGTAAGCATTTTTTCTTGTGATCCGATTAAGGCCACGATAGTCAATACACATCCGGAGTTTGTCTCCTTTCTTTGGCACAAACAGGACAAGTGCACCGAATTTAGACTCACTGGGCCTAGTCCATCCACGGTCAATCATATCATCAATCTGCCTTCTCAACTCCTCCAACTCGCCTTGTCCCATACGGTAGACGCAACCCTTTGGAGGAACACTCCCCTCTATTATCTCGATTTTGTGTTTGACCGGACGCTCGGGAACTCCACGAGGTTCGGCCAAGACTTCAGGGAATCGATCTAATAACTGGCGAATGTTTGTTGGGACTTCCGGTGAAGGATCATCCTCATCAGGAGAAAGGGAATTAGACTGAGAAGTTACAGCAATGACAACCGGATTAGAAGTACTTGGAACAGAAGTAGAAGGATTATTCACAGTAGAAGTCGATGGATTAGAGGTAGAGGTGGTAGAAGTAGAGTTACTTACCGAGGTAGAAAACACAGCAAAAGTAGAAGGCACATGGATAGGCTTTACAAAAGCTACATGTACATACTCAATCTCCTTGCGCCTGCGCACTGATTTGCAGAATTTGGTTGCACTTAGAAGAGTCACAGGGGACTCGCACGTCTCATCCAATAGGACGATACGCTCGTTCCCCTTGGCATCACGCACCACGAACTGGTTGTCCGCCCACGTGGTCCTTAAGCAATTAGCCTTTAACCAGCCCAAACCAATGACCGTGTCGAAAGGACACTTGTCCATGACATAGAAGTTGAGCTCATGTGTGACAGTGCGGTCCTTGTCAAAGGTGACGCGCACACCTTTGACAACATGTGTAGAGGTGACAACCTCTTGGTTGCCCACCTAGGTCTGACAAGGGTTCTGCAGTTCCACTTGCTTCATTCCCAGGCCCGCCTTACGAATCCCGGTAGGAGAAAAGAAATTAGTGGTGGAACCACTGTCAATCAGCACGCGGATGTATCGGCGGTTAATGAGCAGTTTAAAGAAGGTTAGCTTCACACTCCCTTGAACACGGCGTTGCTGCTTGAGCTGCAGCCAGTGTTCCATGTGAGCGTGGAAGTCAACTTCCCTAGACTCCTCCCAAGGCTCAGTGTAAAGCACATGAATTGCAGCAGCCTTGGCTTCAGCGTCGTTCCGGGCTTCAAGAGTGGGTTGTTGATCAGATTCAGGCTCATCAGAGGGGCCTACAACTGATGTTCCAGCTTCCCTTGTTGTAGGGAGTGTTGAAGACTCCTCTACGCCCTTTGCTTGTTTCCCTGCAGTCTATAACAGTCCTGCACAGCATGCCCAGGCTTTTGACAATGCAGGCATATGCGCAGTTTAGATCTTCTTTCCCATTCTTTCTGACTGATACGGAGGGCTTCCCAAGGCTTGGTAGATGCATCCTCCGGTTTCTCAGGGATCCTTGCATTCTTGGGGAGGTGGACAACAGTTCCCTTACCCGAACCACGGTTAGGCCCCTTGTTTGAAGCAGTCTTTCTAAAAGCATTAAGTTTTTCGTCTTCATTTACGTCAGACTCAATGGTTGATGAGGAACAGCCCATATCGGAGTCCGGCTCTAGATCGTCATCCAAAGACAGATCATCCGCATAGGACTATTCTTCAGCCTCCCGATGATCATGCAGTGCAAGCTGGTTGCTGCTCCCATACCGCTTGCGCTGTGGTTTCCCACCTGCAGCGGGCGCCTTCTTACGCCTGGTGAGGTCCTTGGCCTCTAGGTTGACTAGATCCGTCATGAGCTCTCGCCAGGTAGTATGGTCTTTGAGTCCTAGAAGGGAGAGGTATTCTTTAGGGGCCACTCCCATGACTACATCCATGCAAGACACGCCAGTCATTCCCAGATCAGGAGTGGTGAACAGACCAGTCAAGTGCTGTTCCAAAGCCTGCATGGAGGACCTCCATGTTTGGCCCTTGAGGGCCTCAAGCTTCAGTCTAGCCTTGAGCGCAACATGCTTGTCTTGGTACTGTGCGAGGAGAAGGTCCTCAAGGGTGCGTACAGGGGTTATCTTCAACCACTCAGTCAGGTCAATTCGTTCATAACCTGCACTAACAACTTGGAGCTCAATGTGGTCCCGTACGGCGGGCTCAGTATTAGTCCCCATGATCATACTTCGGTCCTCTTGCGGTGATCTCGAAGTATGACCGCATGGAACTAATCCAAGAGGTAATGTCTGCTTTCCCGTCGTACCTGGACAGCAGAGTGGCCGCCCGCTTGTCCATCATGGGACCGCTGTACTGAACGCCAGTAGGGACTGTGGCGTTTTGGGCTGATGTCCCCGCGTTTGGGACTATGACAAGTGCAGAACTGTCGGCGCTGCCGCTCGAGGAACTGGCACCGGATCCTGCACTCGTCACAGTTCCACTTGCCCTTGTCATGACGACTATGTTGGGTTGAGAGACTGGGACTGCAGAAGGTCGAGGGTTGGGAGGGCGGGGGGTAGACAGTTGAGACTGTTTGAGGCTGATTATCTCAGCCTACAGCTCTTGGTTCCGCTGCTCCAGTGCTGTTACACGGGACTCAAGGTCGTCTAAGTTCCTCAGCTGGACCAAGGCTGCAACGACAGCAGCTAGCCTTTCCTGGAACCGGTCAGCATTGGCTTCCGGGACCTGAAGGAGGGCCACCTGAGCAGCTATACGCGTGGCTCTGGCTGCTTCCTCTGCCTCCCTTTCCCTCTGTATGGCATCATCATAAAGTTTCTGGAAGAACGGTTTCTCGTTCTCCTCTGCTTCGTCCAGCATGGCCTGCCAGTGGGCAAAGGTGATGTCCGCCATGCCGGAGGAAGGAGTGTCAGTAGATCTCTCAAGAGGGGTCCGCTCTCTCCTGACGTTTGGACGAACGCTCCTCTTGCCCTTCCTCACACTCTCAAAAATAACACCTTCTCTCTCCCTTTCTTCTCTTCTCGCTGTCTGCGCACGCGTCCCGATACCGGACATAGATAGTTCAGATGAAAGAAACAATCAGAAAGTTCACACAGAGAAGAAGGTAGAACTCCTAACCGGAGCGACAATTCATTTGGACTCAGAGAATGGTACGCAACGGAAAAATAAAAATAAAAATAAAAAATAAAAAAAAACAGAAGAGAGGACTGATTTATATGAGCCCGATTAGATTAGTTGGAGATCCCCTCTTGTCTAGCCTGACAGGGGACTGCAATGCAATAAATCAGCCGAAGAAAACTAACTGCAGCAGTGGAGATTTCGAGGGGTGCAGACGGTCGCCAAGCCAGACGCGGGGCAGTATGTGATAACAGGCGGTAAGACCAGTCAAGATCCCCTTGAAAGGAATGCCCTTGCTTGTCGTACGTCCCCCAAGTTCAGCGCAGCAAAGAGATGCACATGTGGCAACAGATTTGGGCCCAAAAGGTCCTGTCTCGTTGGACCTGGTCCCACTGGGTCCCGAGGGGTCCCAAGTAGGTCGTGGACCAGGACCAACATGATAGGGGTACCAAGTCGGTCCCAAACTGCCTCTACCGTACTGAAAAGGAAAAGACAACTTTCAACAAGAACTTACCCCTACAGCCGTTCGGAAATGAAAAGACAATGCACCGTAGAAAGATATGTCATTTAGAATAGATACATCATCCATCCATCAATCAGGTGAGAAAGCAATCTACATGCTCACACACACAACCAAGACCGCAGAGAAGAGGAAGAGAGCCCAACACACCCCCAACAGGCCATGAAGTACCAAGCAACCTCCGACGGGCATAACCAGGTCACACGGCACTTACCTGTGAGGCCCGGCCTCCAAAGATGGATAACGAGTCACCCCCCTCTCTCATAAGTCCTCCTAACCCCTAGCTACCACTACACGAAGTGTCCTGGCATGACTAAGAGGGCCTTCCTACACCCCTGTTGCAAAGCCGGATCCCCCGTCGATGTCTGAAGACCAAAGTAGCAACTTGCAGCAATCCGATGCAGATATGGCAGCCTCCGATCAAGTCCCCCTCTTGAGGGGAAGCCCAAAAGTCACTCAATGTCTTCTTGAAGTGCAGATTCCAGGTGCGACTACCTCTCACTCTCTACTCCCTCTCGCTTACTCCAATCAGCCTCCTTTGTGTCTCGCCACCCCATCCATTCACTCAGTCAACCTGGTCAGGTCAAATGTCGACCCTACATGACCTAACCAGGTGGGGGCAGTATCCACGTACCTCACTGCCCCACTTAACCCTAACTTCCAACCCTAATCCGAAGTTAGGTTAGCCCTGACCTAATTCGGGATTAGGTTTAGGGTGACTAACACCTCTCGCCAGCAAGTAAGTCCGCTCCGATACCAATTGTTACGATCCTGGTCATTTCCCAAGTGCAAATTCACAATGAAAGACAATGCCACCCAATTGCGAAAGAAATGAAAGCACTTGCAAAGAGATAAAGACCAGAAGAGAGGCAAAGAAGAAGAAGAAGAAGAAGAAGAAGAAGAAGATGTACACCAGCAAGACCAATGACAATTCCCCCTTCTCTCTCCACCTTCCTCCT